GTTTAAAAAGACAGCCTCACCAAACAAATTTCAATAAAATACAAAATGAAGGTTATTAAGGTATGTACCTGCAAATTATAAAGATGTGAGAACAAAATTCACTCTTGTGCTGCCTTTCATAGTCTTAAAGATACTTTTTATTATGTAAAAGTATCTGTCATAGTCATTATGGTATAAATATGCTGCTGTTTAAAACTTATGTTTTCACAAACCCAAAAAATTCTTGTAAGTTCCAGGAAGCTGAATTACACAATCCATCTTAACCAGGTCAGATATACCCATTTTAATTTCCTGGTCCTAAATTTTTTTTTTCTAAACTTAACTTTGTATTCTCTTCTGCCAATACCTTAAACAGGTCTAAGAGACACTGGATATTTCCATACCACAAACACCAGACAGGAGTAAAAAGACCAGTTACCCCAGGATGTGTCCCACAAATGAGCAGGAAGCAGACTTGAGAAGCCGCTGTCCTAATTCCTTTAACATGTGGTGCCTAACTTCCCACCTTTTTATTATGAAAAAGAGATGGGAATGTAATGGTCTGTCCTGTCCCTTTAAGAGACAAGCCCTGCCCACTCCCCTGCCCCCCTTCTGCAGGGGCAAGCTGGGATCTTCTGCCTGAGCAGGCTCTCTCTCTCTCTCTCTGTCCTATCTCTCTTCAGAAGAGGTGGCTGCTGCCTCTCTTCCCCCCCCTCTCTCTCTCCCTCCCTCTCCTCTTTCCCATTCCTGCCATAACCCACTAAATAAACCATACCCACAGTCTCTGCATGGTGTGTTCACCTGGTTCTCACCTGCGGAGGGCTGCTGTGGCTCTGCTGTGGGTCTCGGGTCACCCACAGTGGCCTGCTGTGTGCCGAGGCTCCCCACCTGGGACCACTGTCCCTTGTGGCCTGGCACTGGCACTCGGAGAATTATGCTGCTTTATCTAAACCACTACACTTTTGACTTTTAAAGAATTGAAAATTTTAAAGATGGGGAGATGTCGTGACCGCCTCGACCAGCAAGGAAGGCGCAACACAGGAGCTCTTCTTGCAAGCAGTTTACTCAGGACCTTGTTACAATAGCTTCTCTCTCCGGGCAAGCCCTCCCAGTCCTTAAATAGCCCTGAGCAGCCAATCCTGGATCGCCACGTGGGCACTGACCATAGGTCCACTTATACGCTAGCAGCTTACGATCATCACGTGATCCTGGCCTTAGCCAAATAAGGTGTTGTTTACCACAGAGAGCACTCGCTTTCGGGATCGCAGGAAGGCGGAAGCCAGCACCATCTTTTAGGTGCAGCTCCACGCAGCTCTCTACAATTCCCCCTTTTTTGTTTTAAAAGTGACTGGCAAGAGTAGAGGTCTGATCTCTGTTAAAAATGAAGCATGTACTATTGTTTATCCAGGTGTCCTCTGTTGGGAGCCACCTGGAGGCACAGGTGGTCCTGCAGTTTGGAGGTAGCCATGTGGGGCTGAGCACCCCTGCCTGCACCCTTGCCTGCACATGCTCAGACCAGCAGAATGGCATTAACCAATCAGGACAGCGTTCAAGCCGCTCCACCGTTTAAAAGCAGCTGCCTCGGGGCCCAACGCTCTCTCTCTAAGCGTTCTCTCGTCCCTGCTCTATCTTCCCTTCCCCCAATTTTCCTCAAGGGAATGCTCCAAATAAAGATGTGACCAGAGAAGGAATTCTCGTTTTTGGTGGCGTTCATTCCTGCGGGACAGGATGGCCCCCCGCAACTGGTGCTCGAAACCCCGGGACGCTGAGGGACCCTGACAACTACGCCGGGGGACCCTGAGAAGGAAGTGCCCAGCAACGTGCTGTAAGCCCGGGAGAAAAAGCTGAGATCAGACACCAGCACAGAGAGCCGTGAATTTCAGAACTCTGAGAACGTGGAGCGGTGAGTGACGTCGGTTGAATTCCTCCAGAAAGGGGAGGGAAAAGAATTTCAAAGGATAGGCCTAAAAAGAAAAGAAAATACAAAAAAAATCAAAGTTAAGGTATCTAAAAGAAGATACAGAAAGCAACGGGGAAGAAAAATCCCTTAAGTTCAGTGCAGGAAGAATGTAAATAAAAACAACAGCAGAAAGGGCGAGGTTTACGGTTGGGAGATCCGCGGCTTCCTCCGTGCGTACTCGCTGATAAGAGACTCGGAGGCAACAGTCTCGTAGGGAGGCGAGTTTGATCGTGTTCTAAGACTGCCTTCCCTATTCTTAAAGAGCCACAGAGCTTTTGAGGTGATTTTCGCCTAATTTTGTTAAGAGAGCTCAGTCTCTGGCTCTCACGTACAAAAAACTTTAATTTTTGACTGAGAAAGACAAGCTGCTTGATCGTGCTGAGAGTGCTGGCGGCAGCCGGCCCGCCTTTGAGCGGGAATGCCTGATTAGAAACACGGAAGTGGGCCAGGCACGGTGGTGCACACCTTTAATCCCAGCTACTCAGGAGGGAGACGCAAAATTGCACTGGAGAGTGCTAGCTCGTTCGGGAGGCGTGGCCATGCTAACCAGTTGCTGGCGGGGAGTTTGCTGGAGGCCTACGAAAAGCCAGGTCGCCATGGCGACGGGCGGGCTAAAGTCCGTGTGACATCAGAGGCTATATGTCCCGGCCTTCTGGCGGGGCTATGGTTTTTGGAGGACTTTTTCAGCACCTGAGCGGACTCGCCTGACTGAGGCGGAAGCTGCGTGGTGAGCAGCGGCGCCATAGAAGGCAGAGAGGAGCTGAATCGGCTCTGCGGAAAAACTGTGTTTCCATAGCAACATGGGCGGGCGGAGATGAGTTCCCAGAGAACGGGGCTCCGCGCGCAGGCAGACCGGGCAGGAGAAGCCCCTCCACGGGTGGGCGGATGCCCCCCTCGCCGGAGCTTGGCGGTGCGAATTCAATGCCTGAGGTGAGGCTGAGTTACAGTTCGCAGTTACGGGCGCACGGCCCGGGGCGGAGCCATGCCTTTGGGCCATGCGGAGCGCGCCATAATGGGCTTCAGAGGCGGAGCTGTGGCAGCCGCCGCCGTCCGCTGCTGCCGCCCTCAGCCAAGGTCGCCAAGAATTCAGTCAGATAAAAACATTTGTCGCCAAAAATTCAGTCAGATAAAAACATTTATCCCCCAAACATCGTCCCTTTGTCAGCAGGAAGCAGTCAGATGATGATCGATGGTCTACGCCCATTCTCCCTCAAAGAACTGGTCCTAATTATCATAATAAAGGCACGTCAACCTGGTTACCATTACCTTTTGCCTCTGGCAACGGATGGAATAAACAATGCTACCTAGAGGTTTTTTCATTTGAATGCAGGGAGCTGGAGAGATGGCTCAGAGGTTAAGAGCACTGACTGCTCTTCCAAAGGTCCTGAGTTCAATTCCCAGTGACAACTGCTTTGGTTTTTAGACATAAGAGGGGGACTACACTACCAGTGACAGCTTCCCCCAGAGAAAGGATTTCTCTTGCATTCTTTACACTTAATTTTTAATTCAAAATTTTGCTGGTACAGGCAAACAATATTTGCTTTTTAAAGCAGAGACCTGCAGATCTCTAAGTTCAAAACCAGCCTACTTCCAGTACTGATTGTGCTGAATTTTTACACTGAGAGTTTTTAATACTCTTAAATGTTAATTTGGGAGGAGAGTTTTGTTTATGTTTTTCTAGGAATGCTGACATACATCTGGGTGCCAGCGAGACTGACAAGAGAGATAAAGAAAGATGACCCAGT